AACTGACTAATCACAATTCCCATTTTTGGCAAAAAATTACCGTGGCTCGAAAGTACGGCGACTGGCGTGCTCCCAAATAGGATGTTCAATATGGGAGCATAGCAGTAACAACTCTGCCCAATTTCAAACATGTGGGTAAAACGGTTCCTGAGTTATCGTTGACCGAAAGCAAATGTTGACGAACAGACGGACGAACGTACGACGAACGACGACCCATGGCAATAGCTCAGCTTGACGATGTCAAGGTGAGATAAAAATGTAAATTACGAGCGTCACAGTAGCACACGCGGGGTAGAAATCTACACATCAAAGCCTACTTTATTATATAAACAAATTACGATGAAGCAGATATAGTTCAATTGTACGTTACAAAATTTATACGATAATCATGACAATGGGGTTAGCCGCTAGAAACAGTTGTAACAGCATATGTGTGTGTGTGTGTGTGTGTGTGTGTGTGTGTGTGTGTGTGTGTGTGTGTGTGTGTGTGTGTGTGTGTTTGTGTGTTTGTGTGTGATTACGCATGCATGTGCGCATGTTTTTTTTGCGTACGGAACTTCTTGTGTGCGTTAGCGCGCGTGCGTCCGTGTGTGTGCGTGCGTGCGTGTTTTTCTGTGTGTATGTGTGCGTGGAATCAAGAGTAGATTACCATTAAGAGCAGTTCTCTAGCACAAACAGAGCAAGCTTGACACCGGGACCAGTCTACATAAAACGAGTTCTCTATATATTTTTAAATCTAACCTTTTGTAAATACTGTGAATAAAATTTAAAATTCACAAAGCCATTGGACAGACACTTTCACATGTGGCTACACAACTGAGTTTGATACACAAGGAATATCGACTAGGAACACGAGCAACTGCTTGTGTTGCTTATAGCCATGTGCCATCTTTGAATGACATCACTTTTGTCACCACCGACTCCGACGACACCATTGCTGCTATGCGAAACCTGTTAGCTCTCCCATCACATTGGGCAAGCCATTTGGACAAAGTACTGCAGTCCCTGGATTGTCGTCACGCAGGGCCACGTATGTTGAATCATGTTCACAATTAATCTATCACGTGTTTTATATAATATTACAAGTTAAACATTAGGTTATTCAGTTACATGTATGCTGTTAATGGTTATTTTTAAGTACCATTTTGTTATTGAGATTCACTGTGATAATAGTGCATGGTGCATATGTAAAGTGGATGTTTATTCTTTTAAGTGTGCTCAGGAATTCTGTAATATGTTTATTGAGATTCAGGGTGATATTAGTCGTGCATATGTGAAGTGGGTGTTTATTCTTTTAAGTGTGGTCAGGAGTTCTGTAATATATTGATTGAGATAAGTTACAAAGACTCAAGTTGCCATACAAATTATATATATCTTTATTTCTAAAACGCGACCATTTACTACAGACACGTCTTAGGCATTACTGCTGACAATAGCCTCGTTCACACGAGACCTCGTATTTATGAAATACGGTATTTGCGAAATACCGAATTTGAGTCAAATAGGCGGCCGAGCGTTCACACGCTGATTCGCGGCTCCTGAAATACGGTATTTGCGAGCTGCGAGCTGCTTTAAACAATGAAGCGAACAATGCGAAATAAACAATGCAATGTGCACCAACTGCCGATAAAATACGTAGACTGGTCCGCGCTCGACAGTTCCACTCGCGTTACACTGGAACTGTCGAGCGCGGACCAGTCTATAAAATACGCGGCTTCAGCATTCCGGTATTTAGCGTTCACACGAGGAAATGCGCGGTCCAAGAGATCCGGTATTTCTTAAGCACGGCAAATTATTCGGGGTCTGGGAATCCGCGTATTTACATCAAATACCGGATCTGTTTAGATACCGTATTTCTTGGACCGCGCATTTTGCCTCGTGTGAACGCTAAATACCGAATTTATTGCTACGTGTGAACGCGGCTATTAGCTCGCCTAAAGTTAGAAATCATGAAGCACACCTTGACAATTCTTCCACCGAGAAAAATTTTCTGATGGGGCAAGTCTCTTTTTAATATTTGAAATGTCTTGCTTGGACTAATGACCCTCTCTCTATACGAATCCTTTTAGATGCGATACGTCTATCCAAAACAACTGTCTCTGCATGAAGTTGGGATTTTCCTTTGAGCATTGACGGCGTGCTCCACCATATCTATCACTGACATAAGTAACAATTAATTAAGGCCTGTGTCACCTAGCTAATGTATACATGTCTCAACTTGGGTAACTCGCGGTTCTAGTACCTAGAGATGTTCGATTTGTTCTGATATTTTGGAGCAAAATAGTCGCAACAAACCGATCGCCGGTGGTTATAAACTTACGCGACTAGCGGTTCTAGTATGGATACTACAACGGTATGGTAGTAGCGGATAGAGACATCTGGCTATTTATTCGATTATCAACAGACATAGAGCAAAACTTATATATTGGGTTAAAGGGAGAATAGTACTATCAGGAGCTCTTAAAGTTAGGTATAAATATGTTCGATTTTTTCTGATATGTTGATCAAAATATAGGATCGGCTATGTGTGATCGATGTATGTTTACATCTGCCATGGGTCATTCAACTCATTGCGCAGCCGGCTCTACAACTGCTGCTCCCGCTGCCCCACCTGCTGACAAAGCTAGCGGCTAACCCCATTATCTACCGAATGAAATGCATG